CAGCCTCTCCTCTGACTGGCACATGGCATTTCAAATGGCATTGATGTATTTTTATTTTATTTCATTTCATTTCATTTCTATGCTGCCTTTCTCTCAAAAAGGGACCCAAGGCAGCTCACAAGCCATTCATCTCTGGAATGAGTCAGTATGGCTCATCTACAAACTATAAATAGAAATTATTTTTTTTTTTAAAAAAAATAGGTATATTTATATATACAGAGTGGCTTTGACTTTTCCAGATTTGATTAATATTTTCTCTCTAGCGCAAATCTGCCAGAAAGTGACCATAGAGTCACACTGGAGCACCTAGAGATTCCTAGAGAAAACACTTCTGTAGGCATTTGTAGGTCCTCCAGTGCAACTCTATGGTCAACTTCTGCCAGATGTTGGCCATAGAGTTAAGATGGAGGACCTAGATATTCCTAGAGAGGTGTTCTCTTAGGTGGAAAAAATGTTTTTTTTAATTTGATTTTTTTTCTCTTTTATGGGGTTCTTGTGACCCTAACCTCAGCGAGCGTACAAACATAGGTATACAGTTTTCAGCTATAATTTTTACAGTTAGCTGTCTTTGAAACGAAATCTGGATTTCTTGTTGGCACGATCTACCTTCTCAAGAAAGGCTGCTTTTCTTTATGACGAAAGGCCGGTGGGAGGAAACACCATTGTCCAAGAGTTCAGGTATATACGGTAACTTCATACTGTAGAGGTGGAAGGGAATGGGAAGTTATTATGGTAGAGGCTGGGTCAGTGCTTCCCAAACTTTGGTCCTCCAGGTGTTTTGGACTTCAGCTCCCAGAAGCCCCAGGCAGCTTGGCCAGCAGTCAGGAATTCTGGGAACTGAAGTCCAGAACACTTGGAGGACCAAAATTTGGGAACCCAAGGTCTAGATGATGGACCCCATCTCTCATCACTAAGCCCAAATGGATATTGCATTATTATTACTAACATTATTATTATATTATTTATTTGTATCCTGCTTTCCACCCCCCAAAAATGGAACTCAAAGCAGCTTAAAGTCTAAAAGTACAGTACAATTAAAAACTGACAAAAGTGACAATTCAAATGGGATTCTGTTTTATGCCTGAGTACTAGAAATCTGGCACTTAGTTCTCAAATAATTTTCAGCCCCAAAACAGCGACATTTCATTTTCTGTCTCATGGAGGAAGCCTGGCAGGGTTGGTTTGGGGTGGGTGTCCGTTGCCTTTCTCTGAGGCTGAGAGAGTATGACGCCCAAAGTCTCCAAGGTGGTTTCCGTGGCTGGGCAGGATTTGAACCCTGGTCTCCCAGAGAGTCCTAGTCCAATACTCCCAACACTAACACCATGCTGGCTGCTGTTTTCTTGCAATCTTTCGGGGTGGGGAGGGTGGGTTACTATTGCCTTTTCCTGAGGCTGAGAGAGTGTGACAAGGTCACCGTGTGAGTGTCTATGGTTAAGGCAGAATTTGAATCCTGGTCTCAAGAGTCATAGTCCAACATTCAACCATGCTGGCTCTAGTAGAATGTTGCCCCCTATATGAAATACACTTCTTCTTCTTCTTCTTCT